TATATATATATATATATATATATATATGTATATGTATATATGTATATATATATGTATATGTATATATGTATATATATATGTATATATATGTATATATATATTATACTGTTTTATTAAACAATGTATATAAACAGAAAATTAGATAGGACTACGAACGCACCACACCTTACGTCATCAAGAATGGCTCGAAGCAGTACATCAAATTTTCTTGTAAAATAAAAGTCTAATCTGTGCAAACACAAATAAACACTAACGGTTAAAACATTATTCTACGTCTTACTCCAGTAAATTTCACAGTTTAGGTGAATTCAGTTTTACATATAGTTTTCTTGACTTAATGTATTAATTTACAAGTTATCTTTTTGCTCTTGTTTTGAAATCAAGCGGAAATGAGTCGTGTTGGAACATATGTTCGATACCGGCACGAGCCGGATGCAGACACGGATCTTCATCTTCAGTCTTGGAAAAGTTGAGGCTCCTAAAGGTAAAGAAGCCGTGGTTTCTGTCAGCTTGAAATATCTTAAATATCAGAAGAGCATCCGGTTTAGCATCACTTACCCGCTGTTTAGTTTACAATGCTGTAACTGAAGTTATATGTACTGGACTGCTAGCTTAGCTTAGCCTTTAAATACCCTATAAAACTTAAAGAGGGAAAAAGAAAAGATAATTTGGACAGCATGAACAACCTGTAGGGGAAATACCTAGGAGAGCATTTTTTTAAACTACAATTTGGCTTTATTAATATTTTGATTCGATGACTATTAATCGCCGGATTGTCCTTTTGCATGCTCAGTAATCCAGGTAGATAAATCCAACATGGTTGAGTCAGGTCCTCTGGACGGGCTCTGTTGAAACATTTCGTTTTTAATTCAAATGTCTTCTTCAGTCTGAGAGCTGCATCTGCAACAGCATCTTCTCATATTGTGGATCCATTGTGGATCAACCAGTCTTCTGGGGACAGGAGGAGGATCATCTGCATAACAAGTGATCGTTAGTGCCCTGATGGCTGCTTGCTATTCCCAGAGGGCTGAGTGATGCAGTTAGTCTTTTGCTTTGAGAACCTTCATAACAAGATGAACAGACACATATGATCATAATAGATTCATTGTTATAAAAACTAAACCAAATGATTTTGCTTAAACCTCTAAAAGGCATCTAAAAGATACAGATCCAAACCCAAAGCAGTTTACTTGTAATATTAAACTGTTTTGTCTTGTGTTGACCTGAAATGACCAGATAAATATGATTTTAACCTGTAAAATTCCACTGCAGTAAAACTCTGCACTGTTTTCTCAGCTGTGACCATAACATCAGCGTAGGTGAGTATGTCACAAAGCTGCAGTCTAGTTCTGTGACTGCCGGCACATTATAGCTCACAGTGACCACAGTGGGTCTGATCAGACCTAAAGCAATAAGAACAAACTTTAGACTAAAGAGAAACTGACCACACTGCATCCTGCAATCCACTCTCATCTTTAAGATCTTGACAAAATGAGCATTTTTACTGGGAAGGGTTCTGATAAATAAATTTTCATCTCGAGACCTCTAGGTAGCTGTTGTGTGGGGTCCTGTCAGTTTAACAGGAACTGTGGCTCAGACCAGATCCTGACTGAAGGTGTGCAGGTTAAAGAGATCCAAACTTCCTCTGATGGTAGTTTGACTCAAAACATTTTCACTTTTTATTTAGGACACATTTTAGCTCCAAGTATGAATGAGATCAAAAGGACATTTGTTTAGTCATCATGTAAAACTAGTTTTAATGATGTGAACTGATTTTACATGATAAGATTTAACGGGAAAAACGGCACAGTCTCATGTTTAAATAACAACCAAGTGTTTTAACCATATTCTGCTTTCACCTAAAGGAATCAGTAAATAAGTTTGCAGATAAATTAAAAAGTTTTTCTCTTTAATGTTAATTAAATGTTTAGGTTGCAAACAAATAATAACCCGGCAACATTTAAATCATTTATCATTTACAGTCTGTGCACAGTTTCACTCTATCTTGCAAATAAAACAAGTTTTTGCTTTTCATTGAAAGAATAACAACACTGACCTTTGCATAGACTGTTTATTAAACCTTTCTTATGTTTCTTTAGGCTTCTACCAACAGCTAACCACATCCTGAAAGACATGAGTGTTTGTTCTTTCTCTCCTAGTTGCAGGTTCTTTTGGTTGTAGAAGGAGAACTGGTGATGGGGTGTAGGGCGGCTGTCGGGGTCCTGCGGCCTGTCCAACTCATGCTGCTGCTCCTCGTCTTCATCATGCTGGCTGTGGTTTGTGCAGCGGGCTCGGACTACTACAATCTGTTGGGAGTCAGCAGGGAGGCAACGACCAGAGAGATACGACAGGCGTTTAAGAAGCTAGCGCTCACCATGCACCCTGACAAAAACCCTGTGAGTCTCTCTGAGAAAGAAGAAAATCAGAAAAAATGACAAAATTTTACCCTAAAAATATTTTTTACCATTTTAAAGGCTGTGACGAAGGCTTGATGTTTATCACTGATGTTGTAGGGTGACCCCTCAGCCCATGACAGGTTTCTGAAGGTGAACCGGGCTTATGAAGTTCTGAAAGATGAAGACCTGAGAAAGAAATACGATAAGTATGGAGAGAAGGGACTCGACGAGCAGCAGGGAGGACGTTACGAGAGCTGGAACTACTACAGATATGACTTTGGTAGGTTTAAACATAGACTGTACAACAGCAACACCTTAAAATGTCAAAACACACCAAATTCTTGTACTGTGAAGACAAAAACGTTGAGATTGATTCGATCTGTTTACAGGAATCTATGATGACGATTTGGAGATTATCACTCTGGACAGTGGCGACTTTGGTAAGATTAATAAAATAATAAAATAAATCTCAAAAAGCACAAGAAGGCAGGATTTAATACATGACAGTCTCCAACTTGTACATAACTTTTCTGGTTTCTGTTGTACTTTTATTTTTCTCTGTAATTTGCATTTTTTATATTCAAGCAGAACAGCCACAAAAAGTGTCTACATTTGCAGTGACAGGGAGGTAAAAACCTCCCTGTGGATGTGGAAACATTCAGAGAGTGAAACTTATTTGGTAAACAAATTGACGCGTGTGTGTGTGTGTGTGTGTGTGTTTGCAGAAGCAGCAGTAAACTCTGGAGAAATCTGGTTTGTCAACTTTTATTTCCCACGATGCTCGCATTGTCACCAGCTGGCTCCAACGGTAAGAAAACACTAAAAATACATGTATGTATGTATGTATGTTTTATTTATTCATTTCATTTCATCCAAACAACAAATATAATACAATTTAAAGAAAAGAAAAAAGATATACAATCACCGAAATAAAATGAAAGGCAGCAGAAGAAGAATGAATTCTTATAATATCTGCCCCTTGTCCCCAAAATATATTCCAAACAAAATTACTATACAAAAGCAAGATGAATTTATAAAAAAATAAAAAAGTAAAAAATAATTAAAAAAAACTTAGCTAAAATATAAGATCAACTGTAAACAATTTTTATGAACTCACATTATACTTAATATTTTTTTTTAAAACAAATTTTTATCATCCTCTTGAATATGTACATAGTTTTGTCATTTTTAATATCAACCTCCAGATCATTCCACAATCTAATACCCTGAGATATAGTGGATCGCATCTTCAGACTGGTGCTTCACAAACATCTCCATCCCCTTAAGATAATTACTTTCTCTTTTAACAAATTTCCCTTGAATGTTAGTAGGTAGTATGTTTTTGTTGGCCCCATACATAAACAGTAAGATATTGTAATCAACCAAGTCATAAAATTTTAATATCTTTAGCTGATGAAACAATATATTTGACGGATGGTTATAATCTTTTCTGGTAATAATTCTTATAGCTCTTTTCTGTAAAATAAAAATTGGATTTGTAATTGTTTTACATGCTTTACCCCAGACTTCAATACAGTAAATTAAATGTGGAACAATAATGACATTATACAATAGAGACATTGCTTTATCATTGAATAACTCTCTAACTTTGTACATTACTACAATCGATTTAGCTATTTTAGTTCTTAAATTTTTTACGTGAGATCTCCATGTTAGTTTTTCATCAATGATGACACCCAGAAATTTCACCTCATTGACTCTATTAATTTCAATTCCATCGACTCTAAATGGAGTATCAAGCACTTTCTTGTTATTACTAAAAATCATATAATTTGTTTTCTCAACATTTAAAGATAATTTGTTTAGTTTAAACCAATTTTGTATTTTCACAAATTCTGTTTGTGCCATCTTCAGCATTTGCACAACATTTTCACCCATATACATGTATGTATACATACAATATATATATGTATATGTAAATTTATATATGTATATATGTATATACAGGTCCTTCTAAAAAAATTAGCATATTGTGATAAAGGTCATTATTTTCCATAATGTAATGATAAAAATGAAACTTTCATATATTTCAGATTCATTGCACACCAACTGAAATATTTCAGGTCTTTAAATGTTTTAATACTGATGATTATGGCATACAGCTCATGAAAACCCAAAATGCCTGTCCCAAAAAATTAGCATATCATGAAAAGGTTCTCTAAACAAGCTATTAACCTAACCATCTGAATCAACGACGTAACTCTAAACACCTGCAAAAGATTCCTGAGGCTTTTAAAAACTCCCAGCCTTGTTCATTACTCAAAACCACAATCATGGGTAAGACTGCCGACCTGACTGCTGTCCAGAAGGCCATCATTGACACCCTCAAGCAAGAGGGTAAGACACAGAAAGAAATTGCTGAACGAATAGGCTGTTCCCAGAGTGCTGTATCAAGGCACCTCAGTGGGAAGTCTGTGGGAAGGGAAAAGTGTGGCAGAAAACGCTGCACAACGAGAAGAGGTGACCGGACCCTGAGGAGGATTGTGGAGAAGGGCCGATTCCAGACCTTGGGGGTCCTGCGGAAGCAGTGGACTGAGTCTGGAGTAGAAACATCCAGAGCCACCGTGCACAGGTGTGTGCAGGAAATGGGCTACAGGTGCCGCATTCCCCAGGTCAAGCCACTTTTGAACCAGAAACAGCGGCAGAAGCGCCTGACCTGGGCTACAGAGAAGCAGCACTGGACTGTTGCTCAGTGGTCCAAAGTACTTTTTTCGTCTGAAAGCAAATTTTGCATGTCATTCGGAAATCAAGGTGCCAGAGTCTGGAGGAAGACTGGGAAGAAGGAAATGCCAAAATGCCAGAAGTCCAGTGTGAAGCACCCACAGTCAGTGATGGTCTGGGGTGTCATGTCATCTGCTGGTGTTGGTCCACTGTGTTTTATCAAGGGCAGGGTCAATGCAGCAGCTATAAGGAGATTTTGGAGCACTTCATGCTTCCATCTGCTGAAAAGCTTTATGGAGATGAAGATTTCATTTTTCAGCACGACCTGGCACCTGCTCACAGTGCCAAAACCACTGGTAAATGGTTTACTGACCATGGTATTACTGTGCTCAATTGGCCTGCCAACTCTCCTGACCTGAACCCCATAGAGAACCTGTGGGATATTGTGAAGAGAAAGTTGAGAGACGCAAGACCCAACACTCTGGATGAGCTTAAGGCCGCTATCGAAGCATCCTGCGCCTCCATAACACCTCAGCAGTGCCACAGGCTGATTGCCTCCATGCCACGCCACATTGAAGCAGTCATTCATGCAAAAGGATTCCCGACCAAGTATTGAGTGCATAACTGAACATGATTATTTGAAGGTTGGTGTTTTTTGTATTAAAAACACTTGTCTTTCATTGGTGGGATGAAATATACTAATTTTTTGGGACAGGCATTTTGGGTTTTCATGAGCTGTATGCCATAATCATCAGTATTAAAACAATTAAAGACCTGAAATATTTCAGTTGGTGTGCAATGAATCTGAAATATATGAAAGTTTCATTTTTATCATTACATTATGGAAAATAATGACCTTTATCACAATATGCTAATTTTTTAGAAGGACCTGTATATACATATATACATATATATTTTATATATACGTGTGTATATATATATATATATATATTATACGTGTGTGTGTGTGTGTGTGTTTTATACTTATTTATTTTTCCTCTTGTATTTTCTACTTCCACTGTTTGACTTGTAATGAAAATGTTTCAGGGGTGCTTTTTAATGGAAAAGTATTTTTCTAACTTACATGTGATCCAGTGGAGAGAGTTTGCCAAAGACATGGACGGAGTGATCCGGATTGGAGCGGTGAACTGTGGAGACAACAACCACCTCTGCAGAAGGAGAGGCATCCACAGTTACCCTAGCCTGTATATTTACAGAGCAGGACAGGTCAGTTTTTTGCTCGGTGATCTTCAAAGCATACTGAACTGACTACACTAGTTTGATACTTTTGTTCGCACAATGAGGCACTTACTGAACTGAAGCGTGCTGTGATGATTGAAAGAAAACCAACAAACATCCAAGCATCAACTAGAATAAAAAAGTTATTAATACTAGAAAATGGCAATGCAGCTATTGTATATAAATTCCAAAATACCCAAAATCTATTTTTGGACAGTGCCTCACTGGGGTCACAGTTAATCACACACCTAAACTTATGTCCAACTTTCTGTGACCTGTTGAAACTCTGGATCATGTTTCTACTGTAAAATGTGTCTGAGCTCCAAACAGAGGTGGGTTTTCTCACTCATTTAGCCAAAATCACTCTGCAAATCCATCCATTTTGTTCATTTACTCTTGTAGTATAATGTACCTAAAGGTCTAGAACAATATTTCTGGTCAAGCTGAATGTTTTGATGCATTTTTTAGGTGTGTGTTTTCTTCAGAGCTGCAGGAGACGATTCTAATTTGAACTTGATCAAAGCAGAATACCAGTTAAATAGTAATGGGGTGTTTGAGTGCTTATACAGTGGACCCTTAAAGCTACTCATCACAAAGTATGAACTCAAACATAAAACAGGCCGTCCTGACCTGAACTATATCAAATGGTGAAGTTAGTTTTCCAGATCTACTGATATGCAGTTCTGAAATGCTAGTACAGACTCGATATAAAAAATAATCTGATAATCCACCAAAACCTTGTAGAGTACTTAGTCATGGGATTGACCCACATTAACCTTAATCTGTGTATGTAAACAAATATGGCCTGTAAGATTAATGACTGATCTATTTTCAGTCACTTTGGCTGCTCCTATAGGTAAACAAATGAGCATGATCACAAATTGTGCTTAATTTTTTCAATTTAAAGACAAAATAATTGATGTATGTATGACATATATGACACTGATATGAAACATTACTGTGCAGAGTTTGTTTGTATCTAATAATTTTTTTATCGGTCATCATGACATTGCACTGAGTACCTTTTGAATGAATGATTTTAACAAACAAGAAAAAGTCTGTTAGACTCCTGATAAAAAAGACTAAAATAACAGATGAAGGGTTATTATGAACAATTCAATTCAGTTTATTTATATACAAGTCGCAACAGAAGTTGTCTCAGGGCACTGAACAGAAACATTCACATACAAACAAAAGACAGTGAAGTTCTCTTTCTAAGGAGCAGCAGATTCATTGAATCTTCACTTCGTCACAGTCTCCCATCCTGAGCAAGCACACAGGAGATGGTGGAAAGGAAAAACTCCCTCATAACAGCAAGAAACCTCCAGCAGAACCAGGCTGAGGACAAGCAGCCATCTGCTTTGACCGGCTGGGTTTGAAAAGACAGGAAGGAGAAACAAACACAGAATGGCAGGTCCAGATATAGGAGCAGGTGTACCTGAAAGACAAAAACACATGTCAAGATTAGAAAAAATAATTCCAAATATAAAACAGGTTGAAGTAAAGAAAGCAGCAGAGTGATGAAATGTGGTCATTTTGTCCTACAGCAGTCTAAGCCTGTAGCAGCATAACAAGCCAACCCTAACTATAGGATTAATCAAAAAGGAAAGTCTTAAGCTCAGTCTTAAAACTGGACAATGAGTCAGCCTCTTGTACAGAAACTGGAAGTTGGTTCCACAAGAGAGGAGCCTGATAACTAGGGGTGCACCCGGTGGATTGCAGTTTTCTAGCCAATCACCAATTACCGATTTCTAAAAACCCTGACCTGCTGATTCCGATTTAGTTTTATAAACAACACTGTCAGGTGTTATAAGGTCATAATGCGCCTTCAATTTTCCAACATTATTTTATTGAAAAACAGACCCTTGAACAATATCCTAGAAACAATACAAACTTGTTTTAACTAGGGATGCACCGATCCACTTTTTAAAATTCCGATCCCGATACCTAGAACTGGGTATCGTCCGATACCGATCCAGTTCTGATATCATGATCATCATTGATTTTATATGAGGCTGTAATAATCTCCTCTCAAGTACAATTTGTACAAATATATGCATGCATGTCCAAAAAGGCAACATGAGGTAAGTTTTATTAATGTTGGATAAGTTTTAAAGTTAGAATTAAATTCTGCTAACACAAAACATGTTTCTTTTTATTCCTACCTTTAAAGTGGATATTAAAGTGATTAATTTAAGTGATTGTTTAAAGTTGTTTTATATTTTATAAGGGGCATATATAAGATTTTTTTCTTCTTTCTGCACTCTTTTCATTCAGGGTTTTCTTTTTGATGATTTTTTAAAAAATTTGTTTCATTTAAATGAATGAATAAATGAATTAAATAAAATGTTAAATGGCTTCAAACATCTGCTAAGTTCATGGCGTAAACCAACAGACATGTTCCTGTTCTTAGTATTTTACATCACTTTATAATGTAGCTGTTTATGTTTTTAATATATATAATTTTCAAATCATGTGTTTTTTATGATTGTCTACTGTTGTACTGATAAATATATCTATATATAAATATATACTGATAAATATCTCCTTGAGAGTAAACTATATCTTGGCTGCAAGTATCAAGCTGAGAAATCCTTCATTTTCTACAACTGATAGTGGTTGGTCATTAATTATGAAGTTTAGCAACTTCTCTGTAAACATTTGAGCTCTGTGGTTTCTGCGATGTCTTCTTCTTGTTCAATCTGAAGTAAGCAGCCTGATTTCGGTCAGCCGCTCTCAGTCTGTCCCTCCTCAGAGACGGGCAGATTGAGCGGGGCAGATTGGACGCGGCTGACCGGGGTTGAGTTGCCTCTTTCGGTTTGGCCAAAGAGCAGCGCCCCGCTGAAGCCACGGAGCTCAAATGTCCATCGTAAAACTAACTTTAACGTGGTTTAATGTGGCGCTATGGCTCTGCAGACATTGCACCATGCTGTCTTGTTTTGTGGTGTTTAGTGTAAAGTACTTCCACACAGCGGACATGTTTAGATGAAAAGTTTGTTAGCTGTTAGCCACAGTGCTGCTAACTCAGCCCTCACATTGTAGCTGGCTGCAAACTATGAACTGGATTTCCTGAATGTGAGGTGGGTCTTATTACTCTGGGCTCATGAGACACGCCGCTGTTCAGGAAATCTATTCCATAGTTTGAAGCCACCTTGGATCGGAAACATCGGCAGGTGGATCGGAAAATCCGATAAGTAAATTATGCTGTATCGGAGGCCGATACCGATACTGGATCGGATCTGCCCCATCCCTAGTTTTAACTGGACATGAGGTAGTGCTCTGAAATATAAATGGAGTTCAGACAATTGTTCTGATGCATGCTCAATAATCCAGGTAGAAAAATCCAAAAAAGTTAAATCAAATCCTCTGGACATTCAAAAAAACAAAACAAAGCAAAAGAACAAAAAAATGTAGAAGCGTTTCGTCTTTCATCCGAGAGACTTCCTCAGTCTGAGGTGCTGTTTTCAGCTCAGTCTCTTAAATAGCACCTTCTCAGAGTGGATCAACCAGTTTTGCTGCTGACAACCAAAACCAGCTGCTCACATGGTCAAGAAGGACCATCAGCCTAACAATGGGTCATTAGCACACTGATGGCTGTTTACTATTCACAGAGGGCTGAGTGATACTAGTGTAGTATGACATATGCTACATATATTCATACATTTTTCACGAGTTCTTCATCTTTCTGACTGTGTAAATGTCGTGCATTGAGTTTAACAAAAATGTAACGAGAGACGTTATTTATCTTTGACCCATCAAATGAATGCGGTCATTTATTTTCAGAATCAAAGTTTAACATCAAACATTTACATTAATTTGGCAAAATATGAAAACAATAACAGACAAGTTTCACAGATAGTGGACGTCAATCACACGGTGGTGATTGAGGACTTTGCTTCAGATATTTCTAAAATATCTGTACTGATTTTAGGAGAAAGGAGAGTTTAAGATGAAAATGGAGATTTATCTTACAGAGAGATGTGTGAGGGAATTAATCTGTTTGACCAGAAACGTGCACGCTCCTTCAGATCTCAGCTTGCGACGGTACGCTTGGTCGAAGTAGAAACTGTTACCTGGTTGATGATAGATCAGCGTCGGTATAGGATCCTTCCTTGACTCTTTCAGCGTCTCCGTTGAGAGCAGCTGAAATCCTTAGAGAGTCGTGCGAGGTTATCCAAACAGAAGTTATAATTCCCCAAAATCGTCTCTGCATCTGGATCCTTTAACTCTCTTCATGAGTTAAACTCTGGAACTCTCCTCCACCAACTGCAACCACTCTTTTCACTCTAGACTCCTTAGCTCCTAGAGCTCTGTTACACTCTTACACTTTAACTCCATCACTCTTCAGCACTCTGCAGAGAACCGGGAAGTTGCCACATTTTAAATGAGTTGACTTCCGGGTCAATTTAGAGCTTTCTGATTCGTGGATGGACCAGAATAGAGGTGTGGTTTGTGACGTAAGATGTTATCAAAGTCAAGGGCAGAGAATGAGATTGTTTAACAGACAGAAAAGATTATTGGAGAAAAACCAGACTTCGTGGAGTCAAACTCCTATTATCTTCTGAAAAAGTTTAAACATGACATTTCTTCTCAGTAAACATTTTAGTTGACCGAGACTCGACCTTTAACATACTTACAAAACTTGCTCATTGAAGACAGAAAAATCAAGAAATGCATATTAACCTGATTTCTTCTTTGAATGAGGAATAAAAATCATTACTTACTGTTTATGTAAAATAAAATGAGTAGTTCTCTTCAACCTGTAAACATTGAGTGAACTAACACAATTTGATTATCAAACATTTGTAAAATAGTAATGATCATAGAGAATTGTCTTTTCTACTTGATTACTTCAAGAAAGAAAGTCTCCAGATGGCTCAAACTGTATTTCTGGATGCAGATCAATGAAATAACAGTCTCTGTCCATCTGGTCAGTTTTGACATGGGCCTAGGTTCACTACACTAGCAATAACAGCAGAGTAAGAGGGGGACAGTTGAACCTGGAGGCTCCACCCCTGTTTAATGATGGACGATTTCTTTTCACAAAGATGGCCTCCTTTACTCCTCTCTCAAACCATCGTTCCTCTCTATCCAGGATGTGAACATCTTCATCCCTGAAAGAGTGACCACTGGCCTGGAGATGAGTGTAGACCGCAGAGTCCTGGCCTGATGATGTTGATCTTCTGTTCTGGGCCATCCTTTTGGCCTGTTGGATATTTCTTATCTAGACTGGTCCTATGGTTTTGATCTGCTCAGAGATGGGATTATAATGAAATTATGACCCGGTTCTGACTGGGTTAAACTGGGCCAGCAGCTCTAAGAGAGTCTCCCTGGGATTTCAATATCAGTCGAGGAATAGAGTTTAATCTGCTTGCCACATCACGTAGAAAGGCTTTTGAAGCACCGTCTCATATTTCCTAACACATCAGAACCACATAAGATCCATTGAGATCACACTTAGTCACGCCCCCTCATACACTAATAGGTTGAGCTCCCCTTCTGCGAAGGAGGAGTCTAGGACCCTATATAGGAGTAGAGACACGGGACATTGGGGCTCTTCTTCCGGGTCTGTGAACACGTCACAGACCAGAGAGACCAGCGCTGTAAATTGTAACCTTTTCCTGCCTTGATTTTTATACAATGGTAAAACTTAATTGACATTTCCTTGATTTATTGATGAGAGTTGCCACTTCAGAGGGAGATTCGAGCCAGGGGGAAAGACGTGGGCTGCAGGGGGTTTCCCGGTCCGGTGGCCCGCAGCCAGCTCCCATCTTTAACAGGCCAATGGCTGTTTACTTTCCCCGATGTAAGACTGATCACAGCCCTCCTGACACCAAACAGCATACACAATATTACTCTGTTTGTGCTGGGGTACTGGATCTTTGGGATGAACCAGTCTTTGCCGTAATGTATTTTGGGGTTTAAAAGCCACTGGGAAGTTATGTTTAGAAAATAAACGTCTCAGTTTCTCTGATACTCCCTCAACATACGGAATGACCACTGGTCTGGGTTCCTCCTTTTCACCTGATGGCTGACTGGAGTCCTGTTTGGGTTTCTTCTCTGCTTTCATGAAGGCCCAGTTAGGATATCCACATTGCTCTAAAGCCTGCCTTGTGTGGGATTTCTCCTTCTGCCTGGCTCCTGAGTTAGTGGGGACGCTGTCTGCTCTGTGGTACAGAGTCCTGATGACTCCTAACTTGTGCTCCAAAGGGTGATGGGAGTCAAACTGCAAATACTGGTCTGATACTGGTACTTGGAGCACAAGTTAGGAGTCATCAGGACTCTGTATCACAGAGCAGACAGCATCCCCACTAGCTCGGGAGCCAGGCAGAAGGAGAAATCCTACACAAAACAGGCTCTAGAGCAATGTGGATATCCTAACTGGGCCTTCCTGAAAGCAGAGAAGAAACCCAAACAGGACTCCAGTCAGCCATCAGGTGAAAAGGAGGAACCCAGACCCAGACCAGTGGTCATTCCGTATGTTGAGGGGGTATCAGAGAAACTGAGACGTTTATTTTCTAAACATAACGTCCCAGTGGCGTTTAAACCCCAAAATACATTACGGCAAAGACTGGTTCATCCCCAAGATCCAGTCCCCCGGCACAAACAGAGTAATGTTGTGTATGCTGTTCAGTGTCAGGAGGGCTGTGATCAGTCTTACATCGGGGAAACTAAACAGCCACTGGCCAAAAGGATGGCCCAGCACAGAAGATCAACATCATCAGGCCAGGACTCTGCGGTCTACACTCATCTCCAGGCCAGCGGTCACTCTTTCAGGGATGAAGATGTTCACATCCTGGACAGAGAGGAACGATGGTTTGAGAGAGGAGTAAAGGAGGCCATCTTTGTGAAAAGAAATCGTCCATCATTAAACAGGGGTGGAGGCCTCCGGGTTCAATTGTCCCCCTCTTACAATGCTGTGATTGCTAGTATCACTCAGCCCTCTGTGAATAGTAAACAGCCATCAGTGTGCTAATGATCCATTGTTAGGCTGATGGTCCTTCTTGAGCATGTGATCAGCTGGTTTTGGTTGTCAGCAGCAAACTGGTTGATCCACTCTGAGAAGGTGCTATTTAAGAGACTGAGCT